CCTAACACTCAATGTACAATTGTAAATTTCAATGTTTTAATTTATAATTATTGTGATGGTTTTAATTTTCAAGAGAGTAAAAAGGTAAATCCTACTTTGAATAGCATTTAATTTTAATAGTATGTTAGGACAAAAAGCATATTTTGAGCACAGGAACATCTCTTGGTATCCTGATGGGCCACACCTATGGTAAAGGTTTATACTGTATATTTGACCTAACTATGATTCCTATACAAAGGTTCTTGTCTAACTGCTGCCAACAGCACGAATCACGCATTTCACAGTATATGCAAAAGCTGCAAAGCCTACAATTACAACTAAGTTAGCAATAGTACTTCCAACAAGGCCTTCATTCTCTTCATGACCACTGGATGTTGTGTTTGGGATTGTTTGTTGAACTTCGTGTTCACCTCTTTCTTTAAGTTTTATTTTGATCTCCTTGCAAATATTAAAAGTCATGTTTATTAATTTATTGTAATAATTATTTTTTGTCACAATTATATCAGATGATTATTATTATATTTATATGACTGAGATCTTACCTCGCATATTTCAGGAAATAATTCACAAAAAATTTCATTTTTTATATTAAATTCACCACTACTTAATGCTAGTTGCTTTTTCTAAAAAAATACCAGAAACATTTTAAATACATTACTACAAATTTAATTCTGTTCTCAGCATACAAGTGGAATAATTAATTACCTGATATTCATGGGTTTCAATACTTCCTAGTGTTGGTGATGTTTCAACCTGCATTAGACAAAGTTCAGTTATTTATAATTAAAGTGCAGTTAGAATTGTTGCCAGTTAACACATCCCTGTTTCCAGGTTATTTCCTACTAATTCCCACCAGAGAGAATATGTTGGCAACCTAAATTTGCATGCCCAATATTTTGTGAATCTTACCATAAAACTAAGTAATCCTGTGAGTATTGTTGAGACAGACCAAGCTGGGTTCCAAGTGTCAGGATGGAAATCACTGATTGACAAACATAACCTGAAGGCAAATATTCTTTTACTGTTGCTTGCATTTGGTTGTGACAGTTTTCCATTATAATGTCACTTTGCCTCTGCAGGACAAGCGATTGTTTCAAGTCACATGTATAATTAGTCACTTGTGCACAAAATAGTTGGGTGTGGTTTAACTTGCATCGTGACAGTGCCTAGGAGGGCTAACACAGACTGTAAACTTTGAAGCTGGACTGCTACAGTACATGCTTCGCTTGTCTCGCACAGGCAAAGCAACCATAGTGATAAACAGCCTTAAATGTTTCTTATTCCTGTATATGTTGTGACTAAACTGTTCTCCCTGGAGGTCCAGTAATAACCATCCCTTTATGAAATGAAACCAGAGTACAATGAGAATTGTTTGGTAAACTGAAATACTCATCACATGCTATTAATGTGAACATAAATTACACAAGTGTATATTTGAATGATAAAGTTGAAAGGTCACTAAATACTCCTGACTGCCACGTTTGATGTGCATCGAAGATTGTCCACATACAATTTTGCCATCCCTGATTAATCAGAGAAAACTTTGGCATGCACAAACTTAGCCATGGTGGAAAGTTGGGCACTTTAACAGGAGATCTCCCGTGGCAGGCAAAGGTAAAAAACTGCTGATGCGGCAAAATTTTGCAGCAGAAAAACTGTAAAATTGATAGTGTGGCAGAATTCTGTGGCAGAAATAGTTGGGGAAATACCTGTGGCACAATTTGGGTGACACACCAGTGGTGTGTAACCATGTGTTGTGTCTACACAACTTAAGATGTATTGAGTCGTTCCAGAAAAGATCCACACTCCCCCCACGGAGGAAATTTCTGCCGTCCGGAGGGGGAGGGGAGACAAAATTGTTTCTAACAATAGTAAATGTATTAGGACATCCGAAGGGGGTAGGGGGTTAACTTCCAATTTCCTCCGTGGGGGTGGTATGGACCTTTTCTGGAATGACCATTAATTATTCAACAAAAAATAGCACATCTTTTTTTTAAGAGTGATGGCTTCAATGTTTACTGTTCAGTGGTCAGCGGTATATATGTGTAGTCGTTTGAATTTTTTGCCTGCGACAGCATATTATTGGCATTGAGGGAAAACAGAATGCATGGTGTTGTCAACCGCGCCAGTCTCCTGCAGCAGCCCTGACTGGAAAGTTTGGAAATTGCGTGCCGGAGATTTCGAAAATTTAATAGTAAATATTAGAAAGCATCAAAATTGCACGCCGGAGATATCCGCCACACGATACAAACTTTCCACACTGGGCGGCAGCCAAAGCGTACTTTCCACTATGGAAACTTAGCAGTCTGGTAACCACTCTCCCCTCATGAAACTACAGTTGAATTTGCATTGACGGTATGCATTATTTTACCTTGTATTTGTTTTAAAACGTCCATTTGGCGTAATCATTAATATTTTTGGTGGACGAAATGGAAATTCCTTTGGGAAAACAAGTTTTCCATGATAATAACCGCCTTCATATGGAGTCTTTTCTGGCCCTGTTACACAATAATGCCTGCAAAAAAAACACCTCGTTAGTGGAGGACTTTCTTACTTAAAATTATTTACATTTATAATATTATAAAGTATCTCATGTTTTGATTGTTTTCCAAAAGTGAAAGACATACCATTCCAAAATATTAGTTGGCAAAGGCGCAGCCGTCACATAAGGCACTGGGTCTTTCCTTATTCTTAAATAATCTTGTTTTAATCTCGAAGATGCAGTTGTATGCACTCGCTTACTCATTTTAGACAAAAATAATTAAAGATATAAAAACAAACGTCATTCCTCCATCTTGGAATAGTTGGAGTACTTGGATTGCTTAATCGGATACACCAAAGGTTATAAAGGCGATCTCGTTACGAGTCGGGGATTGTCGTAGATACATCGCTATACATTTAGAGTGTTATAAATTTCCAAATATATATATTATAAAATTTTTATAATTTTGGCGTAAAATAAGGATTTTCTTTACGAATCACAGAGAAGATTTCGTTGCTCTTTGTTCTATATTGTTTCATATATTGTTGGAATCTTGCGGGAATTAAAGGTGGACTTCCAGGAATAAAATTCAACCTTTTCTCACTTGTTAATGTTTTAATTATATTTCTAAAGACTTGTATAATTGTGGATTTGGGCTGCATGACAATTAACGGTATGGTATTAATACTGGAATATATCAATGATCATTCTACATAAATGATTCAAGTTAATAAGTTATTAATTGCCAGTTAAATATTATGTGCTGGGTACCCATACCCTATCTTTTGTGCAGCGGACATGTGTGCCGAATACTAGTAAATATATTACAATTTGTACTGCTGGTTGTGTACTTGTGTGCCAGACCAGGGTTCGAATTAGGCAGGAAAAATTGATTCGCAAATTTCCTTCTTGAAAATTTGATGTCTGGCGCACAGCACTTAGATTCCATATACTGGATGGATGCAGCTGCAATACCAGATCCAATACCAATGTAGGCACTTTCTCTATATATGCACAGGTACTTTACAGTTTACCGTACCTGTGTACCGCAAGTATTTGATGGCGTGTGTTCTGATGGCGAGTTTTCCCGTTCTTTTATTGTGTGTTTTGATGGCGTATGTATTCAGAGATTTACTCTGGTACGGCAAAGTGTCCATTTGCACAACCCTGAATCTAACCTAATGATGTATATTCATTTATATATCATATATATTTGGTTGTGCATATATAGAGAGAAAGTGTCTCCAATGTTATATAACTTGAAGAGTAAAATCGTCTGGTGTTAGACAGAGTAAAACAATAAAGTAGGGGACATTACTGGGTTAAAATGAATGATGAATGTGAATACTTGACAGGTCAATTGAATATAAAGAATGGTTGACAAAGAAGTCAAGGCAAATGTAAATCCACTTGAGCAATTTATTTTGTTGGCAAAAGGAACAAGAGGGGCAGCTATTATTTCTCTGGTCAATCAAGTTTTAGAAACTCGTGATATTTATGTCTTTGGTGAATTGCTTCAACTACCAAACATTCAAGAGGTAATTGTACTAATTAAGTATGCAGTTTTTTTAGAAAGCTAAGTCATGCAACTTTTGGTCAAAACAATTATCTAGACATAATGATCAGTGCGCATTCATGTCTCACATGGGCAGGGTCGACACTCCCTGAAGTGATAAACATATTGTGTTTATCACCCGCTACCCAAATGTAAGGCTTCAGAACTTAATCGACTGACTCTGAGCAAAATGACTGTTTTTTTATAGTTGGAGAAAAATGATGGAGCTCCTTACTGGAGATTGTTAAACATTTTTGCTTATGGTAGATATAGTGATTATAAAGGTAGGCCAAGTATTATTTACATCAATTAAGACATCAATTAATTTGTTTTTATTAAAATAGACGAGCAAAAAAGTGATTGATATTATTGTAGAATGTTACTTTATTCTTTCAGCAAACAGAAATTCTCTCCCAGAGCTTTCATCAGCTCAAACTGTAAAACTTCGACATTTGACCATTGTTAGTCTTGCATCAGAATCAAAGGTAATGATGTTATTTTGGTATGATGGGCTGCTATGCTATAGTATGATGGTATGGTATGCTACACATGCACCAGAACATATGGTATTTTATTTCACTGCTATGGCAAAGTCTAGTATGGTATGTTTTATGATTTCAGAGAGTGCTACAGTTAGTATTCATGTTATGTTTCTATTATAGTACATACCATATAGTGTCCTACTTCAAGAATTAGAAATATCAAATGTTAGGGAATTGGAGGTAAGGAGATGTAGGTCATTCTGTAATGAAAATATAATGAAATTGGGGCTGATCATGTGTTTGTCAGGATGCATACATGCATTTTCGTATATGTATTCTCAAATAAAAGTATTGCACCACAAATGCCAAGTTGTAATTAAATCAACAATAATTTTCAGGACTTAATAATTGAAGCCATTTATGCAGACGTAATACATGGGAAACTGGACCAGCAAAATAGCCAGGTATGACTCCATTCATTTGTTATTTTTTACAACAGAGTATTTCTATAATAAACTTTCATAAATATTTTATAATTGTTTTTTCTTAGCTCGAAGTTGAGTATGCAATTGGTAGAGATATCAAAGCTGAGAATGTCAACTCAATAGTTAGTGTTTTAGGAGAATGGTAAGTGAAGTGTTCAAGAAGGACCAGTAAAAACACAAACTCTAAGATATAAACTTGAAACGTCTGTGCCAGCATAGGTGCTGTAATGATAATAACACCAGAAAGCTGCGGAGTGGGAGGGTTCAACCACCTGAAAGTAAAACTTCCACGTTTTGAGCGACGACCCTTCATTGAGAAGTTGGCAAAGAAAGGCCTTGAAAAAGAAACGAAAAAACGTTGAAGTTTTACTTGTATTTTTCAGCTAGTTGAATCCCTTTAAATTCGCAACAAACTCTATGAGACTATATCCCAAACAAACTTCTTGTTTGCTTCTTACCAGGGGGGTGCAATACCACTCCACTGTGGGATCAACCTGTGACTGTTGCGCAACAAAATGGTGATAATATGATGGCAACATAAATTCACCCCCGCCCCAATTTCGCGACGTTTCCTAATTGGAACGTTAATTTTAATGATATTTTTTTACAGGTGTAGCAGTTGCGAAACCGTTCTTCATGGAATAGAAAAACAAATTCAAAGATCAAATAATTATCGAGATATAAAGGCGACACAAAAGACTAAGTTTGATAGTGAAGTATGTTCAGTTCTGGAGAAATACAGAGATAGCTGATATATTAATGCTGTTGCGTTTTCAACTCAGCATACGTTCTGACAATGACGCACGTGTGTGATGCACGCAACGAATATTATGCGTTATTGTGCGTTTTCAAAGGTTTCCACTCGGGAGGCCTTTTCAAAACTTCCGTTTTTAGTGGTTATTCACCAAATACATTTGGACAGAAAGAAAAGTCAAAATAAATTATTTGCGTATTCGAACTAGTCCGTATAACGTGAAGCATACACGTCAAGATTAGGGGCATTTACTATCTTTTTACTAACTATTGATTTCTTTTGTATTTCCCATTTGAAATATCTTCCCCTTAATCAGGACTGGCGGCTTGACATGAGAACGAGACTTACTGACGGCAAGTCCTTGCTTTTCAGTTAGAGAATTTGAAAGCTGCAATTAAAGCTACAGGATCACAAGATCTGGAGGAAAACACGAGATACGATAGTGCTCAAGGCAACCCTTTTCTTAACTATTCACAAAAGACTCAGAGAAATCAGACGTCAACAAGAGGGTATGTGATGGGCTAATATCCTCATGTGTCGCTCTCCAATAAATATTTCTCTCTGTTCTTCACCCCAAACACAATCCAGTCATGAATGCTTTGAAAACATGGTCCATGCAATAATGTTGCAACTAAATGTCGTTATTTCTTTTCTAGTATAAAAGGGAAATTTTTCGCAAGTAGAAGATAACGGTCGTTTTAAATTCTGAGAAGTAATGAGACAGTTAGAACTTGGTGAAGCCTCAGATTCCTACAAGATACGGTGGACATCAGCATTATTATGTGCAGAAAATATGTTTCATTTGCGTTTTATAACATTCAAGATCGCGGAATCTCTGAACTATGTAAAAAACTAAAAGAATAGAAAACAAAATATATTTGGATTATGTTTTCTTCATATTTCTCTTTCTAGTAAATAATACATTCCTATTGATAAAATAAAAAATAATCCATTTTGTTTCATTATTTTACGGCACAAGTCTAGATATGTGGTAACAAACACTTCAATCCATTATAGCCCATTACGGGGATATTAATTCTTACATTCGTTTAATATTTATGTTATCTTAATTTGTGGCCGTCTATGTACAGACAAATTCATCAACTTCATTCCCCACAAAGAAAAGCCATAAAATGATTTTACACGTTGGCTTACGTCTTCAACATCGTCGGTTTCGCCGAGATCTTCAGGCAAAAACGACGGTAGTGAAAATTTTCAGCCAACCTATACATTATTTGCTCTGTATATCTTGCTAACTTTCTGACATATAAATTTAATATATATGCGTACGAGTTTATCAACTGTGTTTTCATTGAAGTCAAATTTAATTTCCTGTAGTTCCTCCTGCCATCCATTATTTATCCATCCAACTGTGACCGAAACTGTGAATCAGTGAAATATTCATACAGATATCACACAAACACAAGCCACTATACAAAACAGAAGTCCATTAAACATTAAACTTTGAGATAAAATCTGTTATTTTATGCCGATTTTTTTTTATCAACATACTTAACGGTGTAGATTTTTCTCGGGACATTAGTTGGAATAATTTATGGTTCTCAAGAGTATCCAAATATTTTGAGCTGACTGAAAAGAGTACTTCACAGTTTAACGATGGTACGTACATCTCCATTTTACAGCAAATACCACAAATGTTGTACTTTTTAATAAATTAAAATACTATCAGCAAATCGCGTGTCAGTTAATTTTTGCTATTCATCGCGTTTATCCATCAATTACACAATGACTAATGTGAATAATGAAGATTTGGGTTTATAATATGGATCCTAAAGCTATATGAAAAGATAAAATTCAGTTTTTCACAAAGAAAGGAAAATCTCTTTAGCTATAAGACTTATGCGACTTGTGTTTCTTCCTTTGTACAATTTAATCATCTAGTAATCACTAACGCGAGCAGCTGTCTGAACTATTTTGGCATGAAGTAGTCGTGCAGTTCCATATATAGCACAATCTGATAAAGTTTTAATTTGTGGAGACTCTTGTTGTAACTACATATTAGCTGATTATGATTTATATCACGAGTCGTTTTCTTTCATATAGGCAGGTAAATTTACGGATCAGGAATTGTTAGGTAAGTTACAATACTACTCAACATATATATATATATATTTGGCTGGCAGAAAGTCCATTTATTTCGTTTAGAATTTTAGATAAAAAAAATCCGAATACGGCCACTAGTTTATCAATTTTACTTTATTACTGCATGTCAAAGTGTTACCCTCTTTACCAAAGTGTTTTGGCTTGCTATTAAATCTTTCTTCAAAAGAGAAAGCGAAAGGAAATTGCGACTGTCAAGGAGCTTGTCTGTCAAAAATCCTGCTCCTATTAAACTTTAAGTTCATTTTTCTCACCAAATATTCACGTAATTTTCTGAATTATTGAAGAAACAAGCGTTTTCATCAAGACCAATCACAAGATATATACAACATTCGCATCCTTGTAGTATTCATATGTATAGCCTTCGGCTCGTCAGAGCTGCGCAATCATATATTCTATTCTAGAATACTGGCAAGCGTTCAGTGTGTTTGATGAGGATGGAGATGGGACGATATCAACAGAAGAATTGGGAAATGTTATGAAATCACTTGGGCAAAATCTCACGCAGGAACAAGTACAGACAATGATCAAAGAAATTGATGCTGATGGTATGTTTGACATGCTCCAGCTATATTAAGCACCAAGCGAGATCAGCTGGTTTACCAAAACGGTTTGTGTATGTGCCAGTGGTATGTGCATAGAGAATGGTCAGAGATGATACTCCTCTTCATCAATATACTAGGGAGATACTAAGCATCATGGGGCGAGCCAGAGCATTGAGAGCAATGATAGCCAGCAACTATCATGCAACAATGATTACTAATGTCAACCTTTCTTGTTTCCGCACTTTAATTAATTAAACTATCATTGGCATTGCAATGTAGTGTCGAAATTTCAAAGGCAAAACTCGTAGTATTATAAATATTGGGAATTGTAGTATATCTAGCCGTGTATTATATTTGATATTTTGTTCAAAGGCAAAACTCGTAGTATTAATGTTGGGAATTGTATTTCTATCCATGTATAAGGCCTCGTTCTAAACGTCGCATTTTCGTGTGCCGAATGCATTCAAAACAATAGACAATCAGCTGAAATGCCTCATTATCCATTGTTTTGAATGCATTCGGCGCGTGGAAAATGCGACGTTTAGAACGGGCTTTATATTTGATATTTTGTTAAAACATTAAACACGTTATTGAAATCACAATCTTTTCAATCTGTCATGCATGAAATATAAAATAATATAGAAATGGTTGAATGCATGGTTTTTGGCAAGCGCGCTAAAAATAGCAGATGCATACATGCACTGCATGTAAACAAAACATTTACGTACAGAGAGCCAGATTGCAAAACCTTGCAAATAAGGTCTTTTTTCATAGTCTTATAGAGAAAAATAACAGAATTACAGAATATTCAGCCCAAATGACAAATCAAATCGGGCTTTGTATCAGAATTTGAACCGCAACTCACTCGAGTAAAGTAAACTGCAAATAATACTGACCATAACTAAAATTTTGATCTAGACAAAAATTTCATCACAGCTTGAAAGAGCATCACAACATTAGTAATATTCCAAAGTTTCGTTACGAAATGTTGTAAAATGTGGATAATATATAGCCTTGCGAAGTTTACAATTTTCAGTCATTTTAGATTACAAACGGCAAATTGATACCCAAATCGGGTGTTTGGGTATCAATTTCCCGTTAATCTAAAACGACTGAAAATTGCAAACTTCGCAAGGCTATATTATCCGCATTTTACAACATTGGCATGAAGAATATATTTTATCGCATGTCGCATGAAAAATTGTCAGCCGGTGAGAGGCGAAAGGCCCGTAAAATTTACTGTAAATCACTGTATAAAGACTGAAAGTTCTCAAAATAGCCGGTGCGAGGCGAAAAGCCGGTAGGATTTAAATCACTGTAGGAAAAGTTCCGTGTACGTACGCACCGTACGTACAACGAACGAACGAACGAACGAACGTGCGGGTGTGCATTGCGCTTGAGCTCGATGAGCCACCAAACTGTGGGGCTCGCTCAGGCTCGCTCCAATTAATTTTTCTATGCATGATGTATCATGTTTCTTTCGATTTTATGATTTTGGAGGAAGAGTCGACGGCCCATCATGTCTCACGTGGGCAGGATAGACATTCCATGAAGTGGTGTCACCCACAACCCAAATAAACTTGAACTACATCGTACTACAACTATTGAACGGAGTCAGCAAAATTATTGTTCTCGTTGTAGCTAGAAAGTGGTGGGGTTCCTTAATATGGTAGATATGTTGACATTTTACCATGACATGGTGGTTCGTGTATCTCACATCTTGAGGTCTCGTCATTTCGAAACGTTGCTCATAATTTTGTTTCAATCGCAAGTGAAGAGTGTTTGTAGTTTGACTGTACGGAAACACGATACATCAAATGCACCAATAGTGAGTGGTCGTCGCTGCAGTAATACCACAAGTATTTCCTGGTACTTCCTGCACTAGTAATAAGAATGACCAACAGTCCACCAGTTGTAATCATGTAGTTTCAGTTTATCGAAGGGTTATTGTAGTTGGAAATTTCTTTAAAATGCAATTTTGACTCCTTGTTTCTTTGATTCCACTCTTTAAAATGCAATTTTGACTCCTTGTTTCTTTGATTCCACTGACCTGCAAAGCTCAACTGGATTTAATCATTTCCAGGTAATGGTACAGTTGATTTCAATGAATTTCTCTCGCTCATTGTACCAACACAGACAGAGACCCCTCAAAGCGACCTGCTTCAAGCGTTCAAAGCGTTTGACGTGAACGGGGATGGGTATATAAGCAAAGAAGAACTGAAGGAAGGGCTACAAATTCTTGGCGAGGCCATTACAGATGAAGAACTTAATGAATTGATTCGACAAATCGATCATGATAATGATGGACAAATCCATTATTCAGGTATGAACTAACACCTCATGACAACTGATCTCATGATCTGACAATAGAAAATAATACATGCGATCTTCACCTCCGCAATCTGGTTCAATTCCTATCAGTCACATTAAGAAATGAGAGCACACAATTCAACTGCGTAACAAACACCAGTGATTTTCCTAGGATAATTCGTTTTCTACGTTAGAACTCGATCATGGGATGGATCATAAGAGTAGACACTTCTATACAGATATTGCACAGCACACTCCCTATCAGGGTTTTCAGTGACTGGTTACATTACAACCGGCATGAAGCAGACCGAGGTGGACTGTGAGCTTATAAATGGCGCTTTAAGCAGCCGCTATTAGTCCATACCTCATTAATGATCTGGCCCCTGACCTATATACCTAACCCACCCTGTCAACTTTCCCTGTGGGAGGAAACCGGAGTACCCGAAAAAACCCCACGACTTTCGGCTGAGCGTTGACTTTTACTCTTTTCACATGAGGACTGGGTTCGAGTCACGTTGAGAGGTGAAAGCAAGTGCACTTAAAAAATTCATTAATACACAAGGAAAATACAAAAAGAAATGAATGTTTAATCAATGTTTGTAAATCGGATAAAGATTTGTCCTGATTTACATAAACTTCAGTTTTGATTTTCTCGGCTTAGGCAATGTTTATTTTTAAAATTACTTCGCCAATTAACTCATAAGATGGGTCCTTTTTTAAGGATGGGTCCTTTTTTAAATCGGCTGCTCAAGTTTTTTCTAGTACTAACCACTTCGCCACCGAACAGATTAGATGAACTCATTATGGAGCTATCCAGAAAAAGAAACCTAGTTTAGTTTAGGTTTCCTTCTGTAGTAACATTGGACCAACGAGGGAGAACTCTGCACCTCTAGGGGAAACAGCTTAGAACCGGATGGCAGATGTATTCAGTAACAGAAATCTTGGTGGGAAACCTTCACGGGAAATTGACGAATTTTCGGAAATTTTGACCTAAGAGGGGGCTAAAAACAGCCTTTCGAGTGCAAATGGGGAGTTTTTGTCGGAAATTTAGGAGGCTGAAAAACAATAAATATTTTGCTTAATTAACAAAAAGTAATTTATTACATCATGGTTGAATACTAACATGAAATTGTGAACAGGATTTATTGCACAAATTCAACTTTACGTATAAATATTAAACCTAACATATTGCTTGAATAGTTTTCTAACCTAGAGCTTACATTAAATAAAATTACATTAAATGAAGTTAAATTTAAAAACGTTTTCTTGGGAGGCAGCAGCCAAGTGAGACAAGGGAAATTACTCTTGTCAGGTGACAACCAAAACTTGTTGTAAAATTGAGAACTTTACTTGGAGGTCATCATTTTCACAAATTCTGCAAACAGAAAAATTTAGAATGCAAATTGATCATAGCTATTTCAACTTTTTAGAATTTGTCAAGTTGATGGGATCACAATAGACAAGAAATATGAACAGGACATATAAATATTCTTATTGAAATAATATAAATATAACTTTGTTATTCATAGTACTGTATTAATATGTTATCTGTATATTGATCTGTATTGCATTGTATTAATTGCACATTTTATGTAAATGTAAAACATTTGGCTCAAATGTACTTTAATTAAGGAAGAAAATTTCTTGTGCATAAATCCATATTAATACCACTTCCCAATTAACAAATTCTATAGAGCTATTGGATAATCCACTATATTACATATAACTATTTTAATATCCAATTAGAACTCTTTAATTAATATCCAATTAGAATTACAACAATGAAAAAGTAAATTTCTAAGAAAGTAAATTTCTGCTGAGCTAAATTAGAAAAAATACTGGGAGTTATTGAAGATAACAAATGTTAATTGAACACTTTCAAATTTTTGACAATTAAAATCAGTTCCTTTGCAGATAGATGTGTTCATTGTCAAAAGATAAACAAAAAATCAATGTTGGTTATTAAAATTTATGCCTGATTTGTTACCTTCATAGTTAACCTGTCCATCACCATCAATATCAGCCTCTCTGATCATCTCATCAACCTCTTCATCGGTTAATTTCTCACCAAGATTTGTCATCACATGACGCAATTCAGCTGCGCTAATGAAGCCATTGCCGTCTTTATCAAACACACGGAATGCTTCACGGATTTCTTCTTCACTATCCGTATCCTTCATTTTACGTGCCATCATGGTCAAGAATTCTGGGAAGTCAATTGTTCCATTTCCTAGAATTGTATAAAAGATCATGAAGTTTCTGGAAGAAAAACAAGGCTAATAAACCTTGGGTTGAATGACAGAATGATCAAAGGTATAAGTGCTCCTAACCATCAGCATCTACTTCGTTAATCATATCTTGCAATTCAGCTTCTGTTGGATTTTGTCCAAGTGACCTCATGACCGTGCCTAATTCTTTTGTTGTGATAGTTCCATCACCATCTTTGTCAAATAAACTGAACGCTTCTTTGAATTCTAACAATGGTAAACATAACACACCAGGTCAACAAAAAGCTTTTATCAAAACATATACTTATACCAAAATAGTATTTTGTTACAATATGTCTACAAAATGTTTCAATTACCAGCAATTTGTTCTTCAGTCAGTTGATCAGCCTACATAATAAAATAAGTGGAATAAAATAAAAATATAAATGTAAAAGGCTGAGAACGTCCATGTGGAATAGCATTCAGATTGAGTACGAAGACATATTTTGAGACATTACTCCACCCCAACCTAATAAACTTAACCCAACTCTAACCCAACTCTAACCCAACCCTAATCCTCCCAACCCCACCCCATTCTGCATGCCATTCCACAACATGATTTGTGGGCTTGAGTATAATACAGTCTGCACAAATATAGCAGCATGCTAAACTGTAATAAATATGAAAATAAAAACACAATTTCTAACCAAGCATGAATTCATTAATTTTTTATTCCATTAATAGAGTAAGCAATATTTTTTTAAAAAAATAAAAGGTCTTTCATGAAAAGTAAGGATACTCCTATAAAATTGCTATCAGATTAATTAAAAGACATCTGTTTTTAAAATTATTCTGCCATAGTCCTAAAATAAAAACAAGTATTGTGAAGAATAATAAGTATTGTCATAATTTGACCAAAGACAGGACAAATTAACAAAAAACTTGCTTTCAAAGTTTACCAAAGGAATTTTATTTCAGTTTCTTGTAAATCCATAGAAACAAATGTTAGTTATAACAATACAAATTATTTAACTACGTTTTATAATGCTCAAATGCTGTATAATCGTAAATTTTAATAGTTCACGCCCTAAAATTCCAATTCCTACAGTTTCACAAACGTTCTTAACGACAATCTTAAACGACAAATTCTCGTTTTAATTGCTTGTAGAAACTTCTAAATCAAACTTTCATCACCAAATTTGCACCTGCTTTAAACTCAATATTAATTTCCAAAGCAAAGATTTCTTTACAACGATTTTATTGCAACTACAAAGTTCAAAAGTAAGAATTTTCTTACACAAATATTTAGAAGGATTAAAAATTCTAAAAAATTTTATCAAAGGCATTAAAATAATATGCCAGTGTCTTCACAACTCACAAGCCAACTGAACTAATATTTTAATCTCTATAAGCTTTCTACGTGGATTTTTAAAACGGTAGTAAATATGCTACAAAATGCAACGATTTTCGAATTGATGGAATTTAATTAGAAGCTCGATTAGAACAATTCACGTATAAATTTAATAAAATGTCGAAAGAGTTATCGGGCTGAATACAAGTCACGATTACAATCAAATATCTGAATTGTGGTAGACCTATAATACGACAAGTTAAGCTTTATATATCGAACATGGATATTTCGCCAGTTAAATAGCAATATGTACTATGATGAATTGCAATTACTGCGATTCTAAAACTTCAGTGTTGTCAACAATGGCGTTGTCAACAGGACGCTTGTTCACAATTTCATAAAGATTGGCGAACTGCAACAACATGCAACTTCAATGAATATTACTCAAGTATTACAGTGGTAAAATACTCACCATTGTGTAAAATCTTGTTAAAAATGAAGGAAATCTTGTCAAAGAATCTGCAACACAGTCTTGGTATTCACAAAAGAAGCTTTCGAAACTCCTTGCCGCCCGCTTTAGTACCACCCACAGGGCGTGGCCAAGCCTCGTTTGCATACCACAAAACGTTCATCACGGAACAAACACAAAAAAAATCCGAATTTATTTCCTTTTTCGCACGAAATAGGTTTCCATATACATAATTAACCAATATACTACAAAATTTGGTGATATTTTCATTAATTTATCCTAAATCAATTGAAAATTTCTGAAATCATTCATAGCGTCTCTGTCGCATGATTGTCGCATGAGCCCGCGAATTGCGCGTACGTAATGATGGATATTGTGTTTAAAAATTTAAAGCTGATGCCCGATTTCCGTGTTGTGGTCAAATATTGGGCGTATTTTTGTCAAAGTTCAATCCATATTAATGTCAAACAAAAATATGTAATGTCGAAGAAAATTATTAACAGTTTAAAACATAAATAAGGTTCAGACAGCAATATCTGTATATTAAATAATAATAACTTAGATGAAGGCGATTTAAATGAAGGCGGTTAACAAGCCATCTAGATATTGAAGTGGGATTTTTGTTCTATGAAATTAAATATGAAATTACTAAAATAATCTACGGAATTATTAAAATAATTGCATTGAATGAATATTGCTATGTCATATTTAAATCAAGGAATCACCATGTTTAATCATTCCTATTTGGAACAGATGGTTGTATCCACGTTGTCTGAAAGAGCCCCTGGGCGGGGGAGGGGGATTTGAACTGCAGGTTACCTCAGAATTGTAACAGCGCGATTAGTTAATCTTTTCGGCGTCATATTCAGTTGCTGTGTTAACATGCCTACAATAACTTTTATATGCATGAAAATTCTTTATTCCTTTGAATGAAAACTTTGTGGAACTGAATTCTTCTATATTTTTAAATTGATACTTATATTGAAGAATTGGCAGAATTCCCGGAAAACATCACCCCCCCCCCCCCCCTGGTCCTTTTCATTTAAGTGAAGACACAAACTACAGAAATCTTGCATTTTTTAGTGAAAATGTGTCAAATGCCTTGTGTTACAACTTGCAAGAGTATTTTTGTTGTAGAAAGATAAATGGTGGAGGTTAGATAGATAAAAAAGATGTGCAAGGAGAATTTGAGGCTGTTCACAAAAATGTAAAATGAAGAAGAAATAAAAACTCAACATTCACTCATTGGTTAATAATCATCATAAATAAACTATAAGGATCTATATTCACTATAACACAAACTACAGTACATACAGTATAATATATTAAGTCTCTTACCACCAATCTCTAATAGCTTGAGTCAGAAGATAAGTACAGTATTTTACAGAGTTTATTCTGACTTCAGTACTTTAAACAAAACTATTAATTAAATTAAACATGGAGAGTGGTGAAAACAACACATTGTTATTCTAACTTGTAGAGACACATGCAATGTAGAACAAATGATGCAGCCATGGTGGAAATCCAGGACAGTTTTAGTTTGAAGTCATCATCTTCACAAATTCTGCAAAAAATAAATACATTCTTAAGTTTCTTATTTGCTCTCAAAGACATACAATCTCCTTGAAATCAGACAATACAATAATGCAGCAAATCAGCAACTTTATCTGGTCCTATGTGTCTTGACCAAAACTAGGAAGTTGAGCAAAGACTCTGGCACTGAGATGAGAAGGAATTTTCAACATATCTGTAAATTGTAAGGTGCAATTTCATGACAGCATGCCTAGCACCCCCCTCACTAAAAAAACCTTGCTGGAACTGGAACCACCAATTAAGGAATTACCTTCATAGTTAACCTGTCCATCACCATCAATATCAGCCTCTCTGATCATCTCATCAACCTCTTCATCGGTTAATTTCTCACCAAGATTTGTCATCACATGACGCAATTCAGCTGCGCTAATGAAGCCATTGCCGTCTTTATCAAACACACGGAATGCTTCACGGATTTCATCTTCACTGTCAGTTTCCTTCATCTTGCGTGCCATCATTGTAAGAAATTCGGGAAAATCAATCGTACCATTACCTTGGGGATATCAGAGAGTAAATCAGAAAAAATCACAAATGATAAACATACTAATTAACTGAGGTCAACAACTGTCAAATCAGATATATAAGAAGCATTGGAATCAAATCAGGACGATCATAACCCAGTACATATCATCATCTTTAACCCTTTAGATGGCAATGCACCATGATGCACTTTATTATTTTATTCTGTCTAATTAATACCAGATGATTTTACTTGTCAATAGTGCGGCCAAATTGCTTAAAGGTTGACAAATTTAAAAATTAATACAAATGTTTGAATTAAATTATTAACCCTTTAAGTGGCAATGCACCCTGATGCACCCTACTTTGGTATTTTACTCTGTCTAACACCAGACGATTTTACTTGTCAAGTGGAGAGTGCTGCCACATGTTCTGGAATTCCATCACTTTGAAGAGTTTTGAAGATACACCTTCTCGAGTCAGGGTTAGACATTGACACAATATCAAACTCACCATCAGCATCAACTTCGTTAATCATATCTTGCAATTCAGCTTCTGTGGGATTTTGTCCGAGTGACCTCATGACCGTACCTAATTCTTTTGTTGTGATTGTTCCATCACCATCTTTGTCAAATAAACTGAACGCTTCTTTGAATTCTATAGAAATTTATATGCACAGAATTTACTACACAAGACTATCCAAATGTATCCTATTGTGTTTATTGCAATATAAACTTATATTGTTCATATTCGATGATTACTCAAATTAAAGCAACATATTATTTTTTGTAAACACTGCAATATAAATTTCATGACGTTGGCTAAATTATCTAACTTCCTGAAAAATATAGTACAAACTTCATCATTTTGAGCTCCTAAGCAAATATTCAATTCCATATTCTTGTTGCATACAAGCCACAATATACAATTCTCAGATTAAAATGTCAAAATCAATGTTATCAAAATGACTAGAAATTTATCTCCAAAATTCTAAAGTAACCTCAGTTTTATCAGCTCAAAGCTTTGTCTGGTACTTTATGAGCCAATTACTGGTGCCCTGCTGGACATTAAAAACACTATTAAAGATTCCTTTAAAAACTGTCTGTCACATTCTGAAATTGTTACAGACATATACCAATGTATTAAAAGCTTACCACCCATAAGATATACAGTAAATGCGAAATTATTCTACTTTCATCAAGTCATATGACAAGTCACAGGAGTCTCAAACCAATATTGCAAAATGTATGTAAATTTTGATTGACAACCCACCGAGCAGCTCTTACAGTATTTAAATATTTACCTGCGATTTGTTCCTCAGTTAATTGGTCAGCCTAACATTAAACACAAGAATAAACAATGTGTCATGTTGACGTTTATAAAGCATAAACATATCACAACCATTCAAAATAAACCAAACCAAACTAATCAGGAAAATTCAACATATTTGACAACAGAGTCACAGCATGATTGATTTGTTACAAGCAGTCATCCCATATGTATAGGAAAAAGAAAGTAAATCTCCCTTCCTCCTAAAGTGGGCAGGTGAAATAATAATTGTACTAAAATATGGGGTAAGTCTTGACAACAATGCCAGTGGAATAGTCAGGGGGGCACAGGGGGGGGGGGGATGTTACACATTATGAAAATTCAAACCCAAGTATCACAAGAAAGTACATTTGTGGGATCATAAAGTCATGTGTCTTTGATGCACTTTATAAACTTAGCCATCCAGTAGGGGAGGAAAATTTGTTCATGATAATAGTGTCTGATGACATCTGAAAGGGGGGTTAACTTCCAATTTCCTCCATGGGAGAGCGGGTACGGATGTTTTTTGGAAGACCCAATTCTGTCAACAGCCCCCAAGTACTGGGTGACGTTTAATAATATAATTGTTGTCATTGAACCATTAAGCAGAATTGCATTGTTTCACACACAAAATTTCTACGTAAAGGAAAATAATTCTTACAAGCTGTATACAGCCTATGTGCTTTGAAGACGCTCGAAAGATCAAAAAAGCAAATGTTGTTGCAGTGGTTCCTGGATTTCCTCATATATTTTCTTCGATTCACGAACTGTTACTCCCCCAAAGATTGGCATGTAACTTAAAAAACACACTGCGATATTCACCAAACTTTCAAATCATTGAAATGGATACTTTCAACACGGCCACATGCACTCCACTTTAACATTTAAAATATTAAATATAAAACGAACTAATAGTCGAATACAGAATAAACTGATTGTCAAAACAACTTAGTTGCTTAAAATACTTACCATTTTGTAAAAAAATGTTTAAAATAAGCAGAGTTCACCAAATTTAACGTGACACCTTCGCAACTGATCACTTTCCAACTTTCGGACGCGCCGAAACACCGCAGACCAATTTATGGGAGGCTAGCCCTCATTTCCATGTCAAAACCACATATTGAAAATCAATCATTTTCATGCTAAAAATACACTTTTTTATGTTTCTGACGCATGAAGTGAATTATTTATGAACAAATAAGGGTAAAACTATTAGTAATTTTAAAATATTTTGAAGATTTGACCAATAATGCGTGTATTTTATAAGGATTTCTTCGATGTCAATGCTGCATGGTTGTCGCATGAGCCCGCAGTTCCTCATGCGACAAGACGCAAAATTTGTTCAGTGTAACTAGCGATAAACGCAAACAAATCAATATTTCATGTGGTTCAAAACAAGTAATGCTTTCATATTTTATCTATCAGAAAAAGGTAGTTGAGAAAAGTGCAAAAAAATAGAAACCTTTACAATCGTTGTGCCAAAAACGTTGTGCGCGCGTTCCTGCTTTTCACAACAGTTTCCCAACCGGATCATGAAATATGCGTATTGAAATCGTTTCTTGTCAATATAAACACATCACATAATGAAGTGATATTTTTAAGTCCTGTCAGTGTTCGTCGCAATTTGAGGTAAATTAAATATTAATGATTAGTAATTATTTCAAAATAGGTTGCGCAAACAGCTAGTTAGAATCAAGTGATTCAGTTGAACCACATGCTTTCCGACACTCGACAGGACTCCTCCACTCTAGTCACTCTAGTGCGAATACTTTTAAATGAATTTATTTTCTTTAAAAGCATTTGATCTCCCGAGTTAATTAACATTTAGGCATAGCTTGCATGCTATCCCATAACTCTTCATATAAGGCATATATACGGATAACAGTAACACAGCTGCCTATTAGCACAGTCAAAGCGTACAGTTCGGGGTATTAGACGAACTGTATTGACCAGTGGTATTGTCAGTGTTCCGTAGTATTTTGCAATTTACCGAACGCAAGGCCAAGACTAGAGGCAAGATGGGTTGTCATCATAGTTGTCATCCAAACGATCGAGTCACTACTATTTTTAAGCCCAGCGGATCCGCAAAGTCATGTGATCTTGTTACTCTCATGCGGTGTTGTATTTAACCAATAACCAACCTTAACACAGTGTTATCTGTGGTTTTTTGGACGGATTCGGGAGCGTACTATAAACTCTCATGGGACACATGTACGAACTCCCATGAGGAATGGATGTCACATGTGCCCTGTGGTATGTAGTCCTACTGTAACTGCATTTTGGTACGGGTCCAATTTCGGAGAATTTGCTGTATCAGATTCCGAATCGTGAACATTATCGTGGTTTGTGCAATGCCTATATTCAACACTCATAGATTATATTTCACATTATGTTTTTTACTGATCAAGACGTGCTGTTCCTTTCAAATACCGAAGGCGAAGCAACGCGTCACGCGTGGGAGAAAGTGAATGTTTTAAATGTAATTTGTCAAATTGTTATGCAAAATTAATACGTGTAAGCATATTTTACAGAAGCAGCAGTGCGTTCAAATCAAACAAATAGTAAAGTTACTAACATAGATCAAAGAAACGAAATTATATTTGAGTAATATTTTATAAACTATACAAAATTGAAACAGTTCTTCAATTTCTTTATCGTTATCATGGTAAGTGTTTATCGTTTCTTGTTTCTCATCGAGGATATAAAGATTTCCCTCGGTAACATTGTTTATATTAGTGATGACAGAAATTGATGATTAAATTACACAATTTCTAGTTGGCAGGTATTATTGTATATTGTTGATTAAATATAAAGGCAAGAAAACATCCCCAATTTGATTAGGTCCAATGTGAAGATTAGTTTTGTTTCCAGGAGATATAACTTACGCCTTACAGTTTGCCCTAATATTCGTCATTTATGGTTAATGGTCATGTCATGACATGAATTCAATCTTGTTCGAAATCAAGGCCTTTTGATCATGTCATGTGTTTACTTTGCTATACAAGAGCCATGGAGGCGTCATTTCGTAGTACGTTTAGCATACTGTCGTGAACTCATGATCTCCGAGGACAAATCACAAATGGAACCTGGTCCTGGATAACATTAAAATTTAAATTGGATCATGTGAACGAAACACGAGAATGTTAGAAATAACTGAACAGCCGACTTACTCTGAGTGACTTCAATTAGATGACACTATATGGCAGAATACTAGTTTTAGAGAAATACTTTCTTTATTAATCTTTAGGAGAATGGATGCATCAATCATGGCTTAAGCGCAAGTCAGTTGGCGGTCAATGAAAATAGTCTCGAAAGTAGTGACATTGCGAATGGAGAACTCTTTTCTTTAAACGTAATTATGATCCAGATTGACAAATGACAATTTGCCCACACTTTTTCATTTGTGAATGTTCTCAGCTAGGAAGTTATGTTTCAATATTGTTTATGGTTTATAAATATGAAAATATGTATATAGGCCAAGGAAAATCGATAAGATTTTAGCTAGATTCGGATGGGAAATTTACAAAAAATAAAAACAAATACATATAAATGCATATATATTTATGAGTACTTGACCGAGTGCTTTTTATCTACATGGTCTATTCTCACAAATTATCTAATTTCTATACATTTATTTGGTAATTAACTCTATATATATAATGGTTAAAACTCTCTAATTATTCTATATCATGTTCTAATTAGAGCGATACATCAATTTCAATTTCCTCTACTGCAACCAACCTAAAAAGTACAGCACAAAATGGTATTGGTGCTTCAACTGACCTTGAAAACCCATATCGCAACAGCATGTATGTAGAAGAAGGAAGAATTATGTCGCTGCAGTTACCAACTGGAAAGAAAGGTAGCTTGGGAAATACAATGATAATGATGAGTTGTGCCGATACGCATCTAGGCTCATAATGCACATGCTACCGAGCCAGAGAAAAATTTCAAAGCACAGAAGAGAACCAACTGTTAATTTAAAAAACATAGGCCTATTTAGATGCGAGAAAGTGATTTTTCCAGTGTGTAAATAATTAAGACCACAGGCTTACGTATAATTCAGTATTTCAATATTGTATTTTTAGGTTTTATTGGAGATATCGGTTTCTCTTTTGGTGGCGAGGAGCATGACGAAAGCCTGGATCCAAGTGAGTGGAAAACGGCACCCATTCTTGTTGAAAGCGTAAGTCGAGGAAGCATAGCAGAGAAAGCTGGCTTGGAAACTGGAGACGAAATCATTAAGGCACGTGACTGTGTTGTTTTATATCAGATGCCATTGGCTAACGTTAATCTCAGGGTATTTGGCTTCACATCGACCCTTGGTTGAGTAGTCCAGCTTAATTGCCAGGTGTGGACGCACTCAGAGAGCATCGTACGTCTTAAATATAACTCCACCTGAGTATATTCACACCACAATTATTACATTGATGTAGAAATTCCATTTGCTAGTTTCCCTCATTGGTTGATAAGAATCACTATTCCGAGAAGCTCGTGTTATCTGGTATCAAGTTGCCCTCAAATTTGTTGACAACATTTTACGGATGAATTAGCTAGTGACATTATTTTACTGTAAATGCTGAAATATTATTGTACGTATGTGTTTAGATAAATGCAGTCACCGTCGAAAAAGCCGCTCGATCATTGCCTGTGTCGTTGATCAGAAATTGCGACAAAAAGATGAGAATAATAGTAAGAAAGGGAATGGTAAGTGGAAAAGAATAGTCGTGATAGAATACGAATCAACTGCTGTGAACAAATAAGTGTTGATGCAAAGTGAAGACCCTCAAGATATAACTGTAATAAACCGTTAATACGTATTCACGATTATATAGGGAGCAAAGAGAGCGGAAAATATGGTTTTTAGCAGAGAGCAAATTCAAGGTGGGATATATATTCCAAGTTTTTCTAGCATCATGATTCATATCTCCATTGTAGGTAGAATTCTGCCACAACCTGACGTTATGTTTCTCGATATTCTTACAGAATTTTGCGATGCATTTTCTCTCTACGATCATAGTAATAAACGTAGAATTCTGGTAAAAGACGTTCCTCATGTTTGCAGAATTCTGGGATACAATGAAACGTCTCTGGCTTACGATGACGCAATAAGTACTGCCAGGACCAAAACAGGAGAAGCTGGTTAGTTCAATGATCTACCTTGAATTCTCATGTTTCGCGCACGAATATATTTTTTATCATGACACCAATCACAACCCTATCCCCAACCCGTGTATTGCGTTCGGTCGCCAAAACATGTATAGGCCGTTTTCCACTAGGCGGAGTTTTCCGCGCGGAGCGGAATTTTTCTTTGTCTTGTGATTTCTCGGGTGGAACTAATTAGAAAAGACAAAGAGAAATTCCGCTCCGCGCGGAAAATTCCGCCTAGTGGAAAACGGTCTTAAGGATATAATCATTCATTGATGTGGAAAATGAAGCCTGTTAATTAAGGGAAATTGTTTTGACTTGGAATACGAGTCTACTGAAACACATACCAAAACCAGATTACTACATTGTTTTGGCAGTACTCTTCGTCGCCATTTTGGATGATTTTACTTAGAATTATAAAGGAGAAAAATCCTTCGTCGAATTCATCCAACATGGCGACGATGACGTAAGGTCAAGACAACCTTTTGTTGAAGTGTATACTTATGCATATTTCATCCTGTATCAACGACAGATGGGGAGAAGGTTCGCTGGGACACATTTCTTGAGATATTGAAAGAAATTCTGAAACATCAAGAAGTTGAAAAAGACGCGCTCTCTGCTTATGCGGTATTTGATCCCGGAAGAAAAGGCCATTTTAGTATACGCCAACTTCGAGATGCTTTTGTAATGAACTGCAAAGCCACCCCCCTGGAAATGGCGGAAATATTTCGAATGGCTGACCCAGATTTGGATGGGAAAGTTAATGAAAAAGGTGAATATTTTAGTAAATATGGAACCAATAAAAATAATCATTCCGAAATGCTACGGGTTATCCACAAGTATAGCCCCGGTTGTACTGTTCAGTTGATTTTGCGGCTCAAACTGGCTCAATAATTCAAGAAGAAAATTCATAAAGTTTTTCTAATTTAGCTGTTTTAAAATCATTTTCATAACTGATAACCTGAACAGTACGACCGAGCTGCAACGTACAACCTGCGAGAAACATTTGTTCACTGATTACGATTCTCAACTGAAGTAGGCCCTATTCATATAAATATCACAAAACACTAAAAACAAATGCATGGAGAATCACTGGGATTTTCACAAAGACAATACGTGTCATGTCATGACGCACATGCAAATCAGTAAGGCTTCCTCACTTACACTTTCAGTATTTTCGTTACAGAATTCTTAAAGCTGCTGTATCCATTCGTGGAGATGTACTAACATAGTGACGTGTATTTAAATCATTGTATATATTTTGTATATAAACATATTTTTTACTGATAAACGTTGTATTTTTAATAGTATTTTGATATCAATTTGTATATATACTTCAATCATGTTATCTTTTGTATTTTAATATGTAAGACACATGCAGTCAGTAGTCTATAGAAAAATTGTATCTGTGATAAAGTGTTCGATCAATGTTCATATTAAACAAAACTCAAACAAAATCGGCTACCACAGGCAACAAAAACAAACGCGATAGCATCTTGGCGAAGATACACGTTCGCTTCCGTACCTATTTTTTTGAAACACGTCACAATAAAGGGGGCCTATTTTGTGAGTCGGATTACGGAAAAGTATCGATTTTTGTAGCGGTTTACGGTGAGGATACTATCTAGCGGTGGCGGAATTTCGCGACTTTATCGCACGGTTTGCCTGGTAGGCAAATTTAATCGCGGATTACGGTTAGAAATATAATTCAGTACCCTTTCATAAGGGCTCATAAGCTATCCGTCCTTCATGGCATTTTTGAATGCTTGAATTATGCTTCGTATAGAAAATGGATGGTCTTTATCGCTTTGTGTGGAAAACATGTCGGTTACGGTTATACAACAAAATGACGGGCGGTTGACGGAACAAGAGAAAAAAATTGCGCGGTTTGCGGAAAGACTCCCCCCCCCCCCCCCCTATAATAGGCCCCCAATAAAACAATGAAAACAACGTGATGGCCAACATGTTTCGCAAGGTCACTGCTCCCGACACTGAACGTGGGATACAAAACAAGTGATTTTTCAAAACAATGCATATGGCACTATTGTTATGTGGAGACCTTCAATGTCTTCAATGAGTCCTTCCCAGAATGCAGCTGCACTGACTGGTTTCTTACTTACTGATCTCACAATATATGGTTTATGAGCCTGTAAAGCCTGATTCTCATATGTCGCCGACGTCGGTGATGCCACTGTTTGAGATCAGTGAAGCCTGATTCTCATATGTCGCCGACGTCGGCGATGCCCATTGTCATTGATCATTGATGAGTAAAATCTTTTGTCTATGTTCTTCTTCACTGATCTCAAACAATAGCATCGCCGACGTCGGCGACATTATTGAGAATCAGGCTTGAAGAAGAACATAGACAAAAGATTTTACTCATCAATGATCAATACAACGACAATGGGCATCGCCGACGTGCCGACATATGAGAATCAGGCTTAAGCCTGTTCGCGGGTAAGACTTTGTGAACGGTCCAGGTATATATAAAGCGGTCGGTGACGTGCTCCGTGGCACGATTTTTGGTGGTTTTGCATGAGCACAGAGTGAGAGAGTACAGTAAGACTTGTCAATTTTTCTTGGTTTTATTTTACATTTTTTGACAACTGTTTGGATAATATGTCGTGAGTTCCTCTATATATTTCATTTTCCTGATTTAGGCCATATAGTCAACTGATCAAGAACACATTTTGCAAAAATGAGCATTAAAGTTGGAATAAATGGGTATGGCTTTCTCATAATAAACTTTTACTGGCCCTATAAAAACCTGTAGTTTTTGTGTTGTATTCAACTGTATAAGTGTAATTGGTACCATTTGTACTTTGTTCAAACAAATTTGTACTTTTTGTGTAGTTTTGGCCGTATTGGTCGGCTTGTTATGCGAGCTTCCCTTGAACATCCTGAAGTTACCGTTGTTGGTGTAAACGACCCTTTTATCGATCTTGATTATATGGTATGTCTGTCTGTTGATGTAACTTCAACGAAATATGGTAGTGAGCTGCATCATTCTAGTTTGTTTGTTGTACAAATTGTGTGAATTTTAGGGGGAATTCTGAAATAACCTCTTATAGAAATAACCACTTTAATTTGGTTATATAATTTTCAGGGTTGGTCAACCGACTCAACCAGGCCCGGAAATAACTGTTATAACCAAATACCTAATAACAATTAACCAAAATACCTGAAGAAGACTCAAAATGACTGTTTTAAATCTTATGACAAAAAATCACAAAATGTAAACATACCGAATTTCAATGTAAATATCCTGTAACACCAGATACTGTATACCCAAGACCCTGACTGGAATGTTTGGAAATTGCGTGCCGGAGATTTCAAAAATTTAATAGTAAATATATAGAAAGCATCAAAATTGCACGCCGGAGATATCCGCCACGCAATACAAACTTTCCACACTGGCCCAAGACCCCTTAAAGACTCCATAATTTGTAATCTGCATGCAGCCTCAACCCGAATTTCTTCAGGTTGAGGCTGCACGCAGGCTGCAAGTGAACTAAGGGAGCTAACTACTCATGTTTATATACACTACAAAAATGCACCCCCCCCCCTGCTAAATCAGTACCTACTCACACTGAAACGGGCTGGGCCCAGCCCTGTTTTCACAAAAATACATTAGTTTGCATTATTTTTGTTTAGTAAATTGCAAAATAAATTAAAAATAATTTCCAGGTCTACATGTTCAAGTATGATTCCACACATGGCAGATTCAAAGGGGAGGTCAAAGCTGAGAATGGAAAACTTTTCATCAATGGAAACCCAATTGAGGTTTTTGGTGAAAGGGATCCTAAGAAACTACCTTGGGGTAAAGTTGGTGCAGATTTTGTTGTTGAGTCTACAGGTGTGTTTACAACATTGGAGAAAGCAAGCGCTCACTTGGAGGGTGGGGCCAAGAAAGTGATCATTAGTGCACCATCAAAAGATGCTCCAATGTTTGTCATGGGTGTGAATGAAAAATCCTATGAGAAGACAATGAATGTTGTCAGGTTGGTTGATGTTATATGGTAGTAAAAATGCCCTCCAACAGGTGCCATTTACTAAAGGGCTTGAATCCAGGTTCTTCCATTAATCTGGATGATCGTACAATAAATTAAATTAAATATAACACCGATGTTGTCCAAACAGAGACAGCAACATGCAGAAGGTAGAAAACAATTTGAATGTCTGATATGAATCATCATATAAGTAAAATAGACTAGACAAGAAAACCAAATGCAGTGATGTCATTATTTCATTTCAGCAATGCCTCTTGCACAACAAACTGTCTTGCACCAATTGCTAAAGTTATCAATGACAAGTTTGGGATTGAAGAAGGTTTGATGAGCACAATTCATGCTTATACAGCCACTCAAAAGACTGTAGATGGACCATCTGCAAAGGTATGTACTCAAACACTACTACACACAGTGCTGTATCCCATTACAAACAAAATTAGAAATTATGAGCAGAAATGAAAACCTAATACAACTCAAACTATCTTAACCTGAGCAGGCTTAGAATGTAAATATTGGCTTGCTCTGAATACTATTAGTTGTATACAAGTGAATGAGATCAGTCATGATTCCTATGAGGGTATATTTGTCCAAAGTTATCTTTGTATGGGTCATTTATATTGCTTGAAACTGTGTTATCTGCATTAATGTTTAGTCGTGGCGAGATGGTCGTGGTGCTCATCAGAATGTGATCCCAGCTTCGACTGGTGCTGCAAAAGCTGTGGGTAAAGTTATCCCTGACTTGAATGGAAAGTTGACTGGCATGGCTTTCAGAGTGCCTGTTCCTGATGTCTCTGTTGTTGACCTGACTGTGAAGCTTAAGAAACCAGTGAGTTTAATTTACAGCTAATTTTCATGATTAGTTAAAGGATCAACAAAAAAGTATGGGACACCATATTTTGTTCCTTTAGCAAAGCATTGAAGACTCAAGAATTTGATAGTTTGTAATAGAAGATTGTTTATACAATTAACTGTACAATATTTTTGTTCTTTTAGACTTCCTATGATGAGATCAAGGCTGCAGTGAAGGCAGCATCTGAGACAAAGGAACTGAGTAAATATCTTGGTTATACAGAAGATTTGGTTGTCTCATCAGACTTCATTGGTGATACTCATTCATGTATTTTTGATGCTCAAGCTGGGCTTGCTTTGAATGAAACTTTTGTCAAACTAGTGTCATGGTAAGCATAGCTGAGATTCAAATGTTCCTAATATTTGCAAGCTTTCACCTCAACCATGATCATTTTAAGAATGATGGATTTCACTAAGTGGCCAACCAGAAGTTGTGTTTGATATCAAATATAACAGAAATGTAGTTGAATTTGATTGCTCATAAAAAGTACTGACAAGTAATTCTGAAATCGTATCAAATAATAAATAGGCCCTTTTGCACAAATGCTTGGATGGCATGGAGAACAGTGGGATTTTCCAAACAATCAAAAGACAATGGAACAATCAGATTATACAGTTTTTCTCATGCAAATAGTACATATTATACTAACAGATCTAAATATTATATTTTTTATTTTTAGGTATGACAATGAATATGGTTACAGTCACAGAGTGGTTGACCTCCTCAAGTACATTGCTGCCCAATGAGATGCTCAGTCAACAAGTTGACATAGTTTAACATGTTCTTCTATTACTGTAATGATTTGACCATCTTCATTAAATCATATTTGAACAAAGCTTTTGTGTGCATTGATCTTTAATTATAAAGTGAGCTCTATACTATTACCATATATCCTCTATTTAGCCGCAGCCTCTTTTTCGCCCCCACCCCCCACTAATTAGCCCCGGCCAATATACTATATGAGTGGGGTGAGGGTTAAACGACATAGAAGAATTTCCACCATTAACCTATTGAGTGCCAGCATTCTGCCCCTGACAAGTAAAACCATCTGGCTTTGTTGTAAACTAACAAAATACAAACTGATACCATGAACTCTCCCCCTCAGAGGCACTTTGTTTTTATAATTACTAGCTTCAAGTAGCTTGTGGGTGTGGATAAGTTAGAAGAGGTGCATGCAGGCTAGAAGCTACATAGCCTTTCACTTGTATATAAGCGCCCTGCACAGGAGACTAAACTAACACATTTACGTAACGACAAGCGCAGAAATTCGCGCTCAACTTGGAGGATTGCAAAACTTGTACTGTTGTACAAGACTTGCAAAAGTGTATGATGGGAATGATCAAGGCTCAAGGAGGTTTACATGAAGTATTAGTTTTTGTTCCAATATGGCGGGCTATTCAATGGACAACTCGCGAGTTAAGGTATAAAAAACAATTGGATTTTTTAATTAGAAATGGCTTAAAACACGAAGACCATTAAGATTTCTTGTTTTGGCAGGGCACAGTGATTACAAAGCCGGTAATATTTGGCAATAAATCGTCATATTTTGGCAAGAAAAGAGAATCAGATGGGCACACACATTCATGGACTTGCTATTTCAAATCTTTTAATAACGAGGTAAAGCTTGTCATTTGTAACTGCTATCAAAAAGTGGGGATTAGTTTACATCTTGGTTCACATCTCTTTGCAGGATGTGTCTTCTTATATCAAGAAAGTGCAATTTAAATTGCATGAAAGTTATGCAAACCCAACCAGAGGTACGTACTATGATCAACAGATCAAAAATCCCCCCTCAAAAAAAAATTTGCACCTCCCCCCAGAAATGTAAATGTTTATTAGATTAAAGTAGTAATACTATAAGTATGATTGAAATAAGGATTTTGAACTAAATAAGACTAAAGACAAGGATTTCAAACTAAATAAGACCAAGGGGCTTTGCCTCCCTTACCCCCAACCCTGTCCTCACTATCAACCATTTGGATGTTATAATTCTCACCTGGCTTACATTAAACTTTATTTTTAAACAATTTTCTAGTCTTGTCGAAACCACCATATGAAGTGAACGAAACAGGATGGGGAGAATTTGAAATACAAATTAAAGTTTATTTTATGGATCCTGTTGAAAGACCAGTAAGAAATATGAAGTTTTTGTAGTACAAAAGTTTTATTTGATTTCATTGACAATTTAATCAATTTTTTTTCTAAGGTGACATTGTATCATTTACTGAAACTTTTTCAAACAGAAGCTGCATTAGCATCGGGAAAAAAGAACTTAGTTTCAGAATATTATGATGAAATTGTAAGTGGAAGAAGTAAGATTTAGGTCAGATTTAAAAAAGACATTGTGGATTAAACTTTACTTTATAGTAATGTCAAGTATCTGTCAAGAGGTTCATGAAAGTTGAGTACTTGATGCCACAAGGATAAATAATATTTGTCTTTTAGATATTTCAAGACCCAACACAGATGATGCATCAATGTCTTTTGAGTGCCAGACAACTTCCTTTTAGCAAGCAAGACACAGATTGTAAGTCCAGGATAAAGTCAGAACAGTAATTTTTGAATTTTAAATTTGGCAAATTTAATACACCTGGATTTTTGTTCACTCCTTAGGGGCTGAAAAAGAGAGACGGACACTGGAATCCATTGCAAATGCTCGTCAGAAAATTGATCATGAAATCGGTAAACTAAAGGAACATTTAAAAGCCAGTAAAGAAGCTATTCAACATTTTCAAAAAGAAATTCAAAAAGTAGAGAAAGAGCAGGATGATCCAACACCATCTACAACAAGTACAGCCAGTACAACGTGAATGAACCAAGATAACTTATGTTGTGGTAGATCACAGAGTGTGGTGGAAAGTAATGCTTTAGTTAGGTCATATTGATGCCATCAAAGTTTATGGTCCATGTTTATAAAACCAAAAGTAGCATATTATGTTTTTCATCAATAAATTATACTGTACAGTCATCTGGGAAAACTGTGAAGTTTCTATAGTCAGGAGTTGCTGAGTCATTTAGAGAGTCTGAATAACCTGGTGTTTTTTCTATTTACTATTTTTTTTATTGTATGCATGTTGAACAGGTTTTTATGATGGATAATACCTTTCAGCATTCCATTTCATTGAGTGAAAATATTTACTCTTAGATATTCAGGTCATCATCTGGGTCTTCTTCATCCATATCATCTGCTTCATCAGCTTCATAAAATATTTGGCTTTTCTTTCCTAAATCTAACTGAGTTTGTCTGGTTTTATCATCTAGTAAATAAGGAAGCTGTAGTTGTGCCCGTGCTTGCTTTTGTGCCTCTGTCAAGGTTAGATTGAATGTCAAATTTGATGTGATGTCCTCCTGTGAGTAAAAAGAATAACATGAATGTCAGGTCCCTGTTTAGGTAGCAATAGACAATATTCATAACTATTAAGATTGGTTGAATGATTAAACTACCTGAAAATATTTTGAGCAAAGACTTAACTGGCCTTCTACCTTTTAGGTAGTAAGATAATTTAACCAAATTATAGTTAGTGTTAATGAACTTACACTTTCTGAAGATGTTGTAGTTTTTACTTCTGTATTATTTTTGTCTTCAATTGGAATTACTTTAACTTGAGAACCACTGTCAATTCTGTATGCTTCTTTCTGAATTTATAATGGCAGTTAATTTTCAGAAGCTCAAAAACTCAATATTTCTATAAAATGCTTTTAGTACCTTTTTGGTTAATTTTCCACTCTTTTTGCAATGTGTGATAATAAAATGACAAGAGCGTTCTTTTTTATCCACAAAGTTTTTAAGTTCAATGGAGGTGGATGCAATATAATTGATAGAAGATAGGATGTTCTCATCATGTAAGTCTGAGTGAACAAGGGCCACAATTTGTTTTACCTCAAATGCTGCAACACAACATACGTAATAATTTACAGCTGTGAAACATGGTATGAATTAAAGTTATAATTCATAGAAAAATACTGTAAGTGTACAGTACATTGTGTATGATAATCGAGTAATTCACACAAATCTCTGCAAACAACAGCAATATTTTGATGTGAGATGACAGAACTAAGTGAATTAATGATGATCCCCACTTTCATTGACTTTTCTGAAATGAAAAACTGTAAAATTATTACACGAAGAAGTGGAAAAGCTTGATACCTGATGCATATAGCCAGTAGTGTAATCATTGGAATTTATTATGAAAATAAATTGAAGCTTGATACCTGATAATAATCTTGTAAAGCTTTCATCATTCTCAATAGTTTTTGTCAAAACATTCTTTAAGAAAAATGGTTTTGAGATTGGTTCAGAACTTGAGGATCTATAAAAAGAAACATGCTTTTACTCTTTTGTAGTCTTGAGAAACAAAATTATACAACTTAATATTTCTTAATATGTGCATACTTGGCAGTAACCCATTTCAAAGGATCTGTGAATCCATCATGAACATACAACCTGTTTCATAAAGAAATATATTTTACTGGTATGGGTGGTGGTTTAGTGCTATATTCTATAAAATTCTTGTTTGCTTGTACCTGCTACTATTAATAAAGTTTCTTGAATGTTTATCAAGCAAGAACAAGATAACTATGTCCAATCTAGAAAACATGTCACATAGATGTCAAAACAGTAAATGACTACCCTAAAACCTCCATACATAAGCCCCCCCCCCCATGTATAAGCCCATAAAAATGCTTATGAACAACTATAAGCCCACAGCTTAATATGTTCAGAGGTTTATGGTAAATGATGGCATGGAGAACAGTGCGATTATTGAAAACAGAATATGGAACATTCTGATCATGTGGCCATGCTGGCTGGATGGTGCTTGGCATGCTTGCAAAGTGGGTGAAAGAGCCAATAATATAGAAATATATACCTGTTAAGTAATCCTTGTGTTATGTAATTTAATATGCAGTTTCCTCTATGTTGTACAGTATCTGTATTTAAACAATTTTTAAGTAAAATCGTGTGGCATTAGACAGAGTAAATTAATAAGGTAGGGTGCATAATTAGAGCACAAATATGCAACTTAATGGGGGTTAATTAATAAAATAACTAAAATTCGAAACAATTCAATTTAATGATTAACTACTGATCTTTATTATAACATACCGTGAACAAGTATAAATCGACTGTTTTCTTTCCCAGAAACTAAATTTTCCAACATGTTTGAGTGAATTTCGAGATATATTTTAAAACCATACTTATTATCCTATACTGTACCTATTCGACCTGCGCTACTCTCCATCCACTGTATTTATCCCAACATATCCCCTACACAACGTCACACAGCGTAACTATGGTTATTGTTACCATGACAACACCAAACAATAACAATAGATCATATATAGTTGAAAAAAACTCAATCAAGATATTATAGTATTTATTTTTAAGTAAATTATGGCTGGAGAAACAGCTTTAAAGTGGAAATTACCGGGCTGGCGGATAGAATCTAGATATAATAATAATGTTTTGCTTGGGAATTGGGATGAAGAGCGCAGAAAAGTAAGCGATCATAATTTATTTGCCATCAATTTGATAATGATCTTTAAATATAGCGTTCTTTATATTCCATTTAGGTTGAGAGAAAATATTCCCATATATACTACAGCACGTTACACATACTTTACTTTTTGTTAACTATAGTTTGAACGTGGTAAAAGTCACTACAGCAGCACACATCGGACAGACTTCAAAAATTATGGAAATTTCAGACCAGACACAACTATTCGAAGAGAGAGCGTTATAAGAAATGATGTGAGTAGTTAGCAAGGGAATTTTACATTTTACCACACTGAGTATTATCACTGAATACATACAACATCAAAAATATGCTATCAAAATACTGAATAACACACCATCATAATTTGTATCCACGTTTCTGATCATTTAGGGTGTGGGAAAACGTTACATTCTTTCCCACCATGATAATAATTATGAAGGCAACTGTATCTCATGGTATGATCAACAATTCAACAACCGTGGACAAAAAGAATCAAAACTACCACCATTGAGAAAATGGGATGGAAAAGTTCTGGCATATGTTCCAGAGAAATCAGACTTTCCAATTCAAGGTACGTACAGTATTATCAACTAAATAGTTTTGACAAGGCTACACATATCATATGTGGAATATATATTATTAAAACATGCCACAAAATATTTGTATTATTTTGTTACAGAATGGTATCCCCTCATGGATCTTTTCACATATGTCAAAAATCTCTGTTTTCGTTCTCCACTGACTATTATTAAACACAACCAGTTTTTAATTAATGCACTTTTACATGTCTTTGAAGCGTAACAATTGATGTAATATCTCAATATTTTAGGAGCACCAACAAACTATGGATTATACCAAAAACTTTTAAAGAAATGGAAAGAGCAGGAAGCACTTGAGAATATTGGTGAATTTGCTACAACATACAGGCAATCATTTGTTAATCAGCAACCTCCCATCACAACAGAGAGAAAGAAAGCCACGCCCTTGAAGTCGACACCGCAAAGATGGTCAAGCAAACTTCATCCCCATCAAGTGAACAAGGATCTTCATTTACGAAATTGGCATAGAAACACTGCACCAGAAAGACATTCATTGTTAGCAATGTAATTGTAATAAGAAAACATAGAATGGAAATGAATAAATGTTTTTTAGATATATTGAAATGTGATGTTGTTTCTCCACAAATCAAAACAAACCTAGAAGTAACAATGAACAATATATAGCAGTTCACCTTTTTCTTCGTCTGTAGCAAAGAGAATAAAAATCTGGTAGAAGATTTGCAAGACAAAAATCTAAAATAACAGCTGTAAATCCCCAGATTTTATAAGGTTCTTTGTAGAACAATGGATAGACTACACCATTTTTAAACTTGGTATAAGCTTGCTTTTCAGGATCACATAAATCCTCTAATGTTGCAGTGAAAACAGAGGAGACCTAGAAAACAGTAAAAATAATTAGTGAATCTTTTGTAAGAAACATTTTAATGCAAGTCAAAGACAATCTGACCCATTCATACAGTACACCTTCAACTGCTGTCCTTAGAATAATTTGTAAGTTTGTAAGATCTTGTTGAAAACTCTGTAATGGATCTAGTGAAACTGTACTGAACTAACCTCGTTGTGATCAATGACAAGTTTGGATAGATCAAGATTGGAAATAAAGCCAAATACTGGCACAATATTTATAGAGGCATCCTGTCAAAGCAAACAAGTCATAATTAAATGACGTTCCTCTTTACAAGAGTCATAAAAAAACATGCAACTTCTTACAGTGGTTCCAATAGTTGGCTTCATTTCTATCCATACATCAATATCTGATTTTGGCACACCAATTTCTTCCATTGTCTCCCTTAGTGCAGTGTCAATAATATTTTTATCAAATTTATTGTCCATCTTTCCACCAGGAAAACTTACATCACTCTTATTCCGTACAATTTTATGTGATCGCTTTGTAAACAATATAGATGGTTTGTCATCCACTAAACAAAATGGAACCAATACCCCAGCTAACACTGCATCTTTATTCAAGGCTGGCTGTTGAGATGATAATTGTTCCATTTTTTTAATAAATTCATGTTTTTGTTCTTCCAAGACATTATCAGATATTATCAGGTGTTTGGTTGATGTGTTAAAACAAGATCTACATAGAATGCCTGTCAAATAAACAATTATGTATAATAACTGAATCTTAATAGTCTGAAGGGTAATTTTATTTTATTTATTTATTTTATTTATTAGTTTCGCCATATTATACAATACACAAAACTATAACAAGAACAAGAATAATAGACATGATTATAGGCAGGGTGACCGCAACAGCGTGAGCCAATTACTGCGGGCCCGAAATTGTTTTTGAAATTTATTTTTTTTAATTGTTTTTGTCATGTCTTTTCTACAGTATGAAGGGGGTGGTAGAAGTTTTGAATGCTTTGACATTATCAGACATTCCAACTACTGGAGGTAAAATTTAGGGAGACTGATGAATTGAAATCTAGTACTTCTGGAAAAAAAATAATAAAAATTAAGTCTTCTGAAATGGCGTTTCCTGCATTTTGGGAGTATGTTGTTATAAGTGATCCTATGAATTGCCATAAAGTAACTTCATAAAAAGGTCAAGACAGACTATTATGGTGCTAAAAACAGTATGTTTATGATTTTTTACGATATTTCCTGAATATTCTGAAAAATCGGGAGAATTTCATAAAAATCGGGAGACCAGGAGATAGCATGAATTTTCGGGAGACTCCCGGTAAAATCGGGAGAGTTGAAATGTCTGCATTATGGCAGTATTATATTTATAGAATGTATATAATTTGGGGTCAGATCTGAAACAGGAAATGAAAAATTATGGTATGAACAAGGGTAAGACCCTGCAGTCGTGGTTTTAATTGCCTGGTGGTGGCCCATGGTCCAGGGTGCATTCCATGTAAAGTCTATGCCGAAGATACGCCACTATTAACTATAGATAGTATTGTAATTTGCCAAACTCACGCCGAAGATCTTCGGCGTAGGCTACTTTTAAAATGCACCCTGGCCCATGGTGGTCAACTACTCAACTCAAGGGCCAACTCACACTGGCCAATTCTTGGAAAGTTAGAGTTGTCCAATCAAGATATTGGCTGCACAGTTTTGATGGTCTCTTTCTATTTAATTTTTGAAATATTAAGCATGCAATATTTGCATTGATATTTATATTATATTGATTATTTGATTTCGATCATAGCAATATTAAATTTGTTTGATATATTAATTAATACTTGCACCAACTGTATTGAACTGTAGTGTTTTCCACAAAAGAATTAATACTACCTCTAATCCGTCCATAATTTTTAGTTTTAAATACAAACTGCAAAATTCTCATCTACTTTTGAAAGGAAGCAAATCTTTGATTTTTTTAAATTTACTATTTTTTTTTAAATCTTCGGAGTTCGTCGTTATTTGCTCATTTCAAATCTAGTTTTGAAGGATGGAAATTAGTAAAATTCTGATGAATATATAATCATTAAATCACGTGTTATTGTTATTGTTCATGTTTACATTTCTTGTCATTTTTTATGCAAGTATGTCAACGAAAAAAACTGTAGAATTGTTTTATGATGTACTCTCTCCATATTCCTGGATTGCTTTTGAGGTAGTACTGTAAAAGTTAACTGGAGGGCAATGGGTCATGAGTGAGGAGGGTAACAGTTCCCCATGGGTGAGATTTTATAGCCGTGGGTGGGAGGCATTGAAATGTACAAGCCACTTATTCATTAAATCAACTGTAAAAATATAAAGCCTGATTTAGTTAGCTCAAGTCATTGCTAGTTTTACAAGTGTAAGCATGTATGCCTAACCAGGATTATGTTATGTTAGTTTAACCCATTGAGTGGAATGAGCTAGCATAAGATATGAGTGCCACACATTAGAGGCATGTTTTAATACATGTACTTGCAAAAACTTTCAGGTTACTCAAGACTTCCAGGTGACTCAGGGTTATAGTTTTCATAGCTACCAAGTCTCGTGCATTATGCATGTGACACACACCTCAGCATATTTTCTCACGCTCCCACACACAGTATTATGTATCTCATGCATAAGCAGTGCTTTGGCCGCTTTATGCAGCAAATCATGAACAAACCATGCCTTGGGAATGAAACACTGGAAATTCGATATCAGAGACCCAAATTTTAAAAATTTTCAGTGGGGAGGCATCCCCCCCCCCATTAGATTGCATCCGTGGGTGGTGGCTCACACATGCGGATCACTCCACCTTGGCAGCTATGAAGCATGCATGAGCAATTACATGTAACCACCCCATCAACACAACAAATCCTAGATATGCTGATGACCCTAAATTTTATATCCAGGTGCTGTTGCGTTGCCGTCCTGTGTGGAACATAAATGTAGACCTTCAACCAGTACTATTGGCTGGGATCATGAAAGCAACTGGTAAATAGCTTTGAATTACAATAAATTGTTACATTGGGTCATTCCAATTCCCTCTGTTGAAAAGGTGTGGATATTTTGTGGAGTGACCAATGCATTGTCAATATATAGGCTTTTAAGCCACGTTTTTTAGTATAACCCATTTAAGCCACTCAAATGCAGCATGCATCCTACTTTAGTATTTTAGTCTGTCTAACATACGCCAGACGCATCAAGAGGCATCTAGCTTGCATGCATACTAATAATAGTTAGCAAAATAAAGTCTTTGGTGATCATTCTGTCAACATTTTCTATAGATAACACTCCACCAGGCTTAAACCCCACCAAAGGAATGCACCTTGTGAAAGATGTTAAACGTTCATTTGAGTTCCACAAACTTGGACCAGTGAAATTTCCAGAAGTAGGTTGAATATAATCTTGTATAATTTTGGAGGAAATGCATGGTTGTTATAAATTATATCATGATTTTGTTTATTTTAGGACCCATTGAATGTAATGATGATAAAAGGTTTGTGGCGAAAGTTTATTTTCATATTTAAATTTCAATAATTATTTTCATATTTAAATTTCAATAATCATTTTACAGAAATAGACTGCAGACTAAAAATTTGACAGATTTTAAAACTGAGCTATGTTTCTGGTTCAGGTTCACTGCCAACAATGAGGTTGTTAACTGCTGCAAAGATTTTGCATGCTGACAAACTAGAAAACCTTTCCAGAGAGTTTTGGACAAGAATATTCAGAACTGTAAGATCATTCATACTTTTGAGGGCTTATAATATTTGAGAAGCATGCATGGGTACAGGATTAATGAAAATCTTTCTCTGCTTATAGGGTGAAGACCACGTGTCACCCAAGAGCATCGTTGAGGTATGGTTCCAAAATTTGGTTTGAATACCAATGTACAATGTTCTTCACAAAACATAGCATATGTCACAAATGTGTTAATTGTATTAATTCATGGAAAATAAACCAGACTAGAATAAATGTATTATTTACTCTTACAGGTTTGCACCAAGATTGGTTTTAGTGTTGCAGAGTCAGAGCAATTACTTGAACAGTCAAACACACTAACTGTTAAGGAAAAGCTCAAAGAAACCACTCAGAGGGCACTTGACCATGGGGTATGCTGCTTACATTTTTGAAAACTCTGTATCAGATATCCTGCATGTTTAGTTCAAATCAATATGCTCCTACTGGTTCCCTTTCCAATAAATCCTCCCCAAAAATAAATATGCCCTTTGGGAGATTGGAGCCTAATATCATATTAACAGTATTTAATTATAGACTTAATAATTGGGATATGCAGTTGAGTTTGGATTGAATCAGAAACAAGCATTATTGCTGTTGGTCTTTCCTTTTCTAGGCATTTGGTGCCCCAATATTTCTAGTTGAAAATCAAGAAGGCAAGAAACAGATGTTTTTTGGTTCTGATCGTTTTCATCATATTGCACATTGTCTTGGTATGAAAAATCCTGCCACATTTCTACAAAATATTAATTACAGTAACGATTACTATGCAATATGTCATGATCATGCACATGCAGGACACTAACTTATCATATAATTCAAAGTTGTTTTTTTTCTTTCTATAGGTGTTCAGTGGCCCATTGCGGATTCCAACAGCAAACTATAGTTTTATTATGTGCTGTTCCTTATGTGCCCCTATAAACCAGAAGGAATATGTTTGTCAAATATATATTCTAGTAATTGTTTAAAATTAATAAAACATAAATATAGTATTTTGCAGTTTAAAATATATTAACCTTGCATGCATTTATTGGCTAAAAATGGGATGCTTGCACAACAAAAGATCAAAATTTCCACCATGATTCAACTTTCCATGTTCCATTGATACAAATGCAAGGCTGCCTTATTGAATGGAAAAATGTTTCCAATACTTTCTTTACATTTTGAGGGCACTTCGTTTTAACTTCCATAAAGAAACAATCTTTGCCTGGAAATATGTCATCAACTCTAAAATACTTTTTTTCATAACCCTCGTAAGCGAAGTTTCCTTCAACTTTGAGGCCAAAAATATCGACAAAGTCAAAGCCCTTAATGAGGCGTGCTATAGGTCCAATAAACGAGCAGTGATCAGGTTGGCCAATGACTACCTAGTAGTTAGAAATAAGTGGAATTAATGCTTGTACTGAATGATGAAGAATGGTTTAATTAACTCATAGCTCAGTTGGCAGAGCATTGGACTAGTGTCTCAAAGGTCACAGGTTCGATTCCCACCATGGTCAGGCAAACATGGTCAGGCAAACATGGTCAGGCAAACGGTGTGGATATACACGCAGAGTAACATCACAAACATAATGCTAGGTTTTACAAGACTAGCAAGGTAAAGGCTAACATTAGGATTAGGGATGAGATTGAATGAAATCGAAAGGTTTATGTATAATACTTGTTGGTAATATGTATTTTATGATATATGCCTGTTAGGCTAATGTGTTAAATTCAAATTCAATTTTGCCATTATAGATGTAAATTTTCCTCCCGCCCATTCCAGACGGTAAAAATTTCCTCCGCTGTGCAACACACAGAAGTCCGCCTATGATTTTGGCATAACCGTTGCAATGTACCTAGTCAGTGTGCTTATGAGAGGTATTCACCCCCTCTCATGGAAATGGCAGACATTTGGGGGGTGCATGAATGGGCCTAGTCGGACTTCTCTATTCTGTGATGGGAGTCTGGAATTACTCATTTTATAGGTTACAACAGGGTGGTTTAGACCTGACCTGTCCATTACAATTCCAACGTCTCATTTGTGATGGTCCAGTATACTCGGGTTGTACCACAAAATGAAATGCACTGTCAGCACCTTGTGTAAAAGTCCTGGGTGTTGTAATTTTTTCCAGTTTAGAAAACAATGTATCTTGCAGAATCACATCAACATCAATGTCCCAAGGAATAACATCTCCATTCCTGTATTGTCCCAGCAGAGAACCAGACGATAAAACATAGCTTATATTATTTCTTACTGCTATTTTAACCCATTCTCTAAGCAACTCTTGAAATATTGCACGTTGGGGATTGATTTTTAAAGAATCACACTTCTTGTATTTATTATTCAGTTTTTCGCATATTTCCTTACGTTCAATGCGAGCAGCAATAATTAAATAAATATTGTATGCAATGTATATCAAAATTATCGACGTTAGGCCAAGATAAATAAATACTTTTGCACGGCGTGCGCAAAATACCATTTTCTAGCCCTCGCATGTTTAGTTTTTTTATACACGAGGGTTCGAACCTCGGGTAATAATACACCGGGTTTTCAACACCGGACAATCTCTACCCAGCACCAATACCGGAATATTATGAGTGTTGGTTCGAACCCTGCATTTTGTTTTCAACTTTTTTCTAAAAGTGTTGAAGGTTATCCAGAATCACTGGAAAAAAAATGTTTGTTACTAATGCCATTCAGAAACAAGCGACCTTGGCAGTGCAAGTTGCATTTGTTTTAATAACTTCTACTTTTTCTAATGTTTGAAGGTTGTAAGTTCAATAGTGGAAACTCACCACCTTTGAGGATTGTTGGACACAAATTACTGCTATTTTCCCGACAAAGGCCTAAGGGCACTGACTCAAAACGTCAAAGTTCCACTCATATTTTTCAGGCAGTTGTATGAAGTTGGTCAATGTTTATACTGTAAGTCAGAAATGGTAGAACAAGGATTTACTTTCAAAAAGAAAACAATCACACACAATTTTTTTACTGTTTCTTTATTAGATCAGGTACATTGTTTAGAAGACTTAGGATTCCTCATCAGCATCGTCATCTTCTTCCTCATTGTTGATCTGGAAGTATCTCAGCTCATATGCAGTTTGACTTGAAGCCACAACACGCAACCAATCACGAAGATTATTCTTCTTTAGGTATTTCTTTGTAAGATACTTCAAGTATCTTCAAAGAAATTGAAATAAAAATTTTAGTAAAAACAGAACTTATTTGTTGACACAACCAGCTCTTTCGTACCTCTGATTTATACCTTGTTTCTACTAGGGTCTTAAATTATTGGGCTTTATTTTGAATAATGGAGTAATCAGAAACCGTAGTAACGAATCATAATAATCATTTGTTGGAATAGTCTCATCACCTTACTCCAAGTAACATTTGACTACAAATGATCAAGAAAGTCGATCAATGGTTTATTATAGAACAGTGCATTAAATTATTAATTGGATTGATCAATTTCACAAAATATCTTGTGTTTATATATTTTGGCTAATACTCAGAATGTAATTACAAAATACCACAGTGAGTTATTCTGTGAGAAAGTGTTATACCATACCTGGGTTAGGGATTTAAAAATTGTTTGATATTAGGGGGTCATGCTAACAATTTTTATATGGATGAATGTTATATGCATAGGCACAAGGGTTGTTCACAGTAAACTGCATGTATATAAATACCAACCTCTTAGAAAAAGGGATATCAGAAGTTATAGTGACTGTTGATTTCACACATTCAACTGTAATATTGTTCTCTAGATTTCCTGGTTTTCCATTAACCTTTATACGACCTTTCATATAGTCTGCCTACAGAATGACGGGAGAAAATACTTAGGGAAGATAGCCCTAAGTAGAAAATATTTACTCTCTAGTCAATTACACAAATGCTGGTTGGTTAGTTGGCTCTGAGGAGTATTTGTACCCAGTTATTCTCGAAACAATGATTATATTTTGTGGCATTGTGTCAGGCAGGCAAAGTACAATACACATAAAGCTGCAGACTATCTGAAAAAATACAAGCAAAACTTTGATGTTTCATCAGGAAGTTAGTGCGTTGTTGTAAGCGAGTTGTGTGCTTCATTTCCACAGTACAATGCAAGTTGTAAGCAGGTTGCCTGCAACAGTTTTGGGCAAAAGTTGTGTCATGTAAATCAGCCTTAACAACCGACAGTTTTCTGGTGTTTTTGCCACTACCTATGCTGCCACAGACCAGGTTTGTCATCAAAGTACAGTATACCCAGTGTGGAAAGTTTGTATTGCGCTGCGGATATCTCCGTTTGATGCGTTCTATATATTTACAATTAAATTTTCAAAATCTCCGGCATGCAATTTCCAAACTTTCCAGTCTGGGGTATAACCATCTCCCTCAGATGTCCTCATCATCATTCATTCATACCAGGTCATTGGCTTTCAATATCCCATCTTCCACAGGGTGTGTACAATCGATGTTAAATTTTAATTGCGACTTTTTCTTCTGCTGCTTTTTTTTCTGAAATAAAGAACGACATTGCTACACGTTTGGCAGAACTTTGTCACCAGAATTCTCCACAAAATAACCCCTTGTATATCCATAACTTTATCCTTAAATATTCCTCAAAAATTGCCAGAGCTCTGGCCAGCCCGAATAACGACCAAAGAATGCAAGTATTTAACTTTATTAATCATGTAAGTTGAAGGTAATATCAAGTTTATAGACTAGTTATTTATGATCACTTTATGGCGGCCATATTGGTCTTCTCTCGTTTTGACTCGAACTTCAACAAAGCAATAAAAACGCCAATATTTTTTAAACGTTACTGCCTGCAACGCTGTAAGCTCTTTCCTTTGTGATAATTGCATAAAATACCTTCCTCAGAAGGAATAAATAAAGATTTTTTAACAACATACCTGACCCATTTTGAAAGCGCAAGATAGTGAAGCGAAAAAAGACCGCGTGTCACTTTGCTGGGGGTTTTATAATCGTGCTTCCACTCGAAATTCCTTCCATTCCTTTTTTTGCGGAGAGAAATTTTCCACAACCGTTGAAAGTCTGGGGCGAGGTTTCCATGGTTACGACAACATGGCGGCTGTTTTTGTTTCATTTTTTGAAGATTTTTAAGTTTTAAAGAAAAAGATGTAATAATTGTGCAGTGAAATATTTAAATATGGCTACAGTTGTGACAAACACAACAGCAAAAGCAATCGGAAGCTATGTTGGAGAAACAAAAAAGCAAATTAGAGATGGTTTGTACTGTTGTTGATTTGGTGTGTATCGTGAATATTTATATTAATATTGTTATTTCTTTACTCTATTGCACCACCTATATATTTATATCAAGTCTTTATGTCATGTATTTTCAATGATTATGGTACAATTCCCCAATATTTTCATTTTTAGGTTTTGGAGTGTATAATTATCCAAACAAATTTTTCCGTTATGAAGGTGAATGGAGAGAAGGCAAGAAACATGGTGTGTATCAAATTGCCAGTGAACAGTGTAGAATATTTATTAAACTTTGAGCATCCGCAGCTACAGACACACAATGTCACCTTGACAGAGGTCTCCATTATCCTTTAGAAAAAATACCACAAATAATATATCATCTTCAATTTTAAAAGATAATACCATTCCTTTTTGGTTATTTAATATTCAATCAAAGGTCATGGTCGATTAATAATGGCAGATGGTAGTTTTTATGAGGGATCATTTGAAAATGGTGAAATAACTGGTCATGGTTACAGGGCATGGGTCCATACCAAGAACTCGTACACTGGCCAGTTTGAGCGTGGTGAGCAGTGTGGTGTTGGCGTTATGGTATATGGGAATGGTGATAAATATGAAGGTGGTTGGCAAAATAATAAAAGAGAAGGTAATAACCGATTATTGCAAGACAATTGCTCTTATAGAGCTAAATGTATCCAGCTACAAGGTGCCCTAAAGGTGGTGTGCAGAAATTTCTGCCTAAAAAAATATCGAGTGCAACGTTGACCAACTCTGTAGTCTGGTCTGTTTGAAATGTAATTATACTGCATGCAAAGTTCCTACTCAACACTCTCTTGTTGTTCTTAATACCTGTATTGTCTTGTTTAGTATTGTTATTGTACATGTTTATAGTCCTGTATTTGTTTAAGTGTGCTGTTGTGGTAAAGTTAAATAAATAAACAGATTAATGAAATAATTCCTAATATCTTTAATAAATCAATAAATTCATTGATGCCCATGTGGCACTTTCCTCCGAAAAAAAAAATCATCTGGCAGAGTAAATGATAGTCTTCACCTTAACTCATTAGGAGAAGGTGAACTAAATGAAGCAAATGGCAATATTTATAAAGGATCATTTTACCAACACAAAAAACATGGTAGAGGTTATCAGCTTTACAGGTTAGTTTTAAAATTGGCTGAAAATTGAATTGTTGAAGGGAAATGATTTTCTGTAAATGTTTTCAATTGACAAATGGGTGAGTTTTTATTTTGTAGTAATGGTGATCAGTATGAAGGAGAATGGGTAAGGGGAATGAAACAAGGTCATGGTACAATGAAGTATAATGATGGAACTATATATGATGTAAGTTTTCCTGGGTGAAAGTACAAAGGAAGGACCAGGATACTCTGCGACATTCCGGGTCTGGTCGTAGTCTATATATCCTTGAATGCAAATTACTGTGAGAATTCAAAATTATATAACATGTAGGGCCAGTGGCGAGATGACACGTTCAATGGACAAGGCAGTATTGTACACATTTCTGGTGTGTTGTATGAAGGAATATGGATCGCTGGAAGGCCTGCTGGTAAGCACAAGGCTAACTATGTTCACATTCGTTCAGATTAAATATATATCTTCAATCTATGGACTGGACGACATTTGAAAAATACGACGTAAAACGTCATCTGAACACAACAATTACTAGAAATATTTAAACTGCCCGGAAGTGAGTGTAATTAATGGACGTGTACACGTTCCAAACGTTCACGCAAATTAGGTAGTTTTGAAAGAGGCTGAAACCGAAATTACATAAGTGACCAGGCTATAGTTAGCACATTACTCATTATAGTAACTATCAAAGATTAGATGGTTAAGCAATAGTTATATCCTGACTGCGAAAACTGTGAACGCATTGGGACGAAAGTGTGTTCTTTCTCCTGTTATAACTATGTTTCTCTTTATGATATGTCTCATTGTAAAGCACATTTTGTTTTAGTTCACAGTTATTGTTTTGGATTGTTGTCCACACAACTTGCGACAAACTAAATATTGACTGTTATATTTGTTATAGTCGAGGCTTTTACCTTGGCTTTGGATGGTTCAAATGTAATCGAAATAGAGCAAGGCAAGCCTTTTAATATCGAGATTTTCTGTCACACTGTCGATGGTGAGATTACCCAGGGTAAGCATTGTAGTTCATTGAGAATGTCACCGAGGCGACGCCATAACCTCCACCCTGTGTTTGATGCAGTTTAATTGTTGTGATTATTTTTAGACGATGGTCGTCTTTTGCAAATTACAGCTGGTGTAAAAGTGTCAAATAAACGTTTTTCGATTGATGGAAAGCAAAATGAACAAGATATTATTTCGACTCCGTTGTACGTGATTTCTCATTTTCTCTTTCGTTCTGTATTTCTTTACAATTATCACCATCACAAACACAAACATCCACTGCTATCAAACTGTGTTATCTATTATTTCAATATTCACGTACGGAACGTTATTTCCATTTAGCGACTTCGACGCCGAACCGTACCCCCTTACAGAAATTCCTGCTGATTGCGAGCCATCACTTAATGGAAGACTTGAGCCACCTTCACCGATCATAGAGAATGATGACAGGACCTCAGAACAGGTTTGCATTTTAAGCCAGTTTTTTTCAATCTAAGTAACCACTTCTGATTTTGCAAGATTTGCAGTACGTACGCACACCATCATCATCAGAGGCGAGTATATCAGCATTTTACTCAGTCTCTTAGCCTTGGAAGAACTATAGATTTCTTTACTTTGGGTACATGCACCGCTACCGTTGGAAAGAACAGGCCTAAGACCAGGTCATACACAATAAGAGGCAGTAATTTTGGCACACAAAGAAGTCCCAGTCTCATACATTACAGGTCAGATTATACCCACGTCGAGTAAGATGTTTCGTGCAATATGTACAAGAAATTACATATGTCCCTAATCTCTTTCTATAAGAAAAAGACCAGAACGCCTTCAAACTTTACAAACACCAGAACTACATCATAACGACCTATAAACCCTTGAACCCTTTAGTTTTATTTCCTCATCATACTGCTAACTGCTAACGTACTGATATTTCAGGATCGCCCAGGCCCAGATGACCAAGCTAAAACTCGTACCAGTCCCCCACCTACAGCAGGTGGACACATGACCTCGTCTAGACCAGATAGTGTACATCTGGCATCCTCAACAGATGGTGAAGGAATTTCCGAGGGTAAGTAAAGGTAGCGGGATTAATCATCTGAGAACTGAATTGCGAAGGGTACAGCCAGTGGGTACAGCTCAAACATTGAGGGCTTTCAAAACAAGTCAGCGGCCACTGGAGCTCCAGCGTGTGTTATGAGGTTTACTGCCAACTACTTTCTGTACTGTGCATCCAGCTCACTTCATTCGCATAATTTGATACGATAAACGATCTATCCTTATTTTTTAGTCATTACCAGCAGTTCACAAGGATTTCTGTTCCCAATAGTGCCAGCAATTCGTACAGTCAACGGTCGCGCAACATTTGAAAATACTTTCCTGCCAGCGTGTTCCCGTAGTTATTCCACGACATTTGAGGATAGGGAAGTGCTTGATGGTCGAACAAGTCAAGGACAGAAGTATGTTTTGTTTTCTAGTTTAGATCTGGCAACAAGTCAACTACATTTATTGTCATGCAAATATACAAGGAACTTAATATGTTACTCATGCTTTTGGTTTGCAATTTTCAAACACAGGCGGGCTCTTAAAAAATAAAGTAAGATTTGAGTTGAAGATTATTGAACTCCGCTGACACACTTACAGGTCAAAACGTGGCAGCAAGAAAGGCAGTGTCCAGCACAGTGCAACTGATCTGGCAGAATTAAAAGAAGGACGACGAAGGAAGGATAAGAAAGATGAGAAAAATAATGACGACAAAGCAAGATTCTGCAAGCCAGGTTCGTGCTTTCATTTATTAGACAAGAGAGCATGTCGGATATAGACCCTGGTTGCCGTGATCGAATAAAGAACACTTGTCAATATTGAACCAGGAAATAAGCCAACACAATGCAATTCCTGATAAATATTCCGTTCAACATTGACCAGAGTAGGTCTAGCCTGCAGCCCCCAGCCCGAAATGCAAGGAGGCTAGAGCAATATTTATTCGGCATATTCAGAATTCAGATTATATTTTCGAAGTCATGTAGTCACAATGGCGCGTCATCTTGCGAAGTTATGATTAAATTTCATCCTTTTATATTCTTACCAAGGTGATTACGTCATCATTGTGAAAGACGTTACCAGTCCTCCGTTCCTTGGCACGACTTTACAACCAGCGTACTGTCATGTGAAAGTGAATGCAAAGCAAAAGAGAGCGAAAAGTAAAATTGATAAAAGATGACAACAGAAGAAATTCAGTCGTTTACATTGTGAAGGCCATGGAAACTTTTTTCTTGAGTCCAAAATCTTGAGCCGTGCGAAATAAAACGTTGATGTCCACAACAGAGTTTAAGGCAAGCTCTCTATGTCTGAATACAATTATGAATGGTAAATTCGACATAACATTGTCAATATACAGGGTGTATCAAAAAAAGCGCAATCCTCGACTGAAATGTAAATTGCTAAACAAATAATAGACGAAAACGTTAAAGTTTACATTCATTTTAAAGCGTAGCCATTCAGCTTTCTAACAGTGGGTGGTTTCTTAAATTTGACTCGTTGGTTCGCGGCTAATAATACTTTACGTTATTGCGATTGGAGATTAAAAAAATTGAGATGGAATAAAAAATCGTTCTCATGAAAATAACTGATTTTTTCATTAAAACAAAAAAATGTTGCATTTTATTAAATGGATTATAGTAGTATAATTAAGTATAATTACGGCTTTTCTTCCACTATTTTTAACTCAGTTTGAAACTTCAAATGCGATATAATTTTGGCTTGGACCATCTAAGCTGACTGACATCAACTTGCTATAATTTCTGTTTACATTACATTGCAATTCGATGACA